TGCGTTAACGAAAAAATCACGTTACAGAAAATAGCCAGACAAAAAATCGTCTACTCTTAGTACAAAAGTATGAAAATAATTACATATTTATGCAATTTCACATAATTATGCAATTTCACAGTTAACACAATACTTACATATTTAATATATAATTCACTATTACCATGCATCCGGCACAAGGTGAGAAATCTTTTTACCTAGTTTGTGTTTTGTCAACTTTTCTAGATATAAAAATTGCTCCTAAGTTTATCGCATCTATGTCAAATACATCTGGGAAACAAACAACATTACTCTAAATTATTAGAGTAATGTTGTTTGTTTCCCAAGTAATGTTGTACCTTTCCCAGGCAAAATGTTTTTCATACATATAAACAGGTCCTTAGAACAACGTTTTGCATATTTGCACTAGTTTTAATTTTTTGTTATAACAAACGTTCATTACTAATATAATTACTAATGTCTGTTAATATGGCTCCTATAGAAAAATAGTTCAAAAGTTTTTTGTTTTTTTTTTTAATAAAATTTCTACCATTTCTCTTTCTCTTTCTCGTGATATAGTTTTTTTTTTTTCCTGAGATAACTATTCTAGTGTTTAACTTTCTTGATGTCTAATAGCGGTCTGCTTTACTTGAGCAGTTAACAAAATAAGTACTTGGCATAGTTTTCTTGACTAGAATAAAATAATTTAAAATTTCTATGAAAAAAAATATTTTTTTACACAATCTTTTTAAACAATCAATTTTAAAACAATCTTTTTTAAAATATATAATAAAAATAAAACAACTTTCTATAACTTAATTTAAACTTTTATTTCGCCAATAAAATTCGAATTAGAGAAGTTGTTTCTTATATAGTACATATATGCAGAATTATAAATCTAAAATTACTTTAAACGTGCTAGAGCAGCATTTATTTATCAATTTGAGCATATCTTTAAGGTATATTTGAAAATTACTTTACTTACTAATCTGTTACGCTTTTAATAGAACTATTTATAGATTTCCTTGAAGAATAACAACTTATTTCAAAAAAGTTTAGAATTTGATTCGTGTCCTCCTTCTACTTCTTTTAAAACTAATGCAGATCTTTCAATCAATTTTGTTTACTATGTATAACTTTATTTAAAGCAGAATTTGATGCAAAGAACGGTTAATTAAAAACACTGCTTTTAAACAAGCTTTTAAATTTAAAGTCTAACTCATGAACAGCACCCATGTGATAAGTTAATTTGTCAATAAAAGGTCTATGCTTTATGAAAAACATTTTTGATATGACAGCAATAAATACACACATATTTTCAACAATTTGAAGTTTATAATAAGTTTATAAACATTTGGATCCTCTGCAACTTGTTTACGTTTTTTGGAAGAGTGTTGATTGCCTCTAAAACTCTTCTAATTTTGTGGTTTCGCTTGTTGCCAATTACTATTGTTATTAAATACTTTTAAGATATAAAAGCAATTTAATAAGTAACTCAGCATTTTATTTATATACATAGCATTTTAAAATATTAATACAATTTAATAACTTATTTAACATGTTTAAACAACCAAAACGTGTTTACTGTACCTGAGTTATAAAAGATAGCATATTGACAAAAATATTAAAAAAATAAAAAATCTTATGTGTTATAATACTTACCAGAAAATCTTAAAAATGTGAAACACTAATAATTAAGTCTACTTTTAAATGCTATCGAGTACTTTACACGCATATACATATGACACTTTATATATATATTGTTTACTTATTCGCACATTACTTATAAAATACTTTTGAAAACAAGTTATTTAATAGAGTTTTATTTTAAGCAAAAATGAATTAACTATATCGTGAGATAGAGAATCAAATTCTACATAAATTTACTTAAAAACAACCTTTAAATATCTATTTACTACAAATTATGTTATCTAAATAATTGTAATTAAATACGCTTACTCAAAAACGCTCGTTTTGTTTACTTGATTTGCCATACAGTATGGCGCACAGTGACTCAAAATAAAGAAAAATCGGCAAAAATTATGTAACCATTGCATTTAAATACGGATTAAATGAATAGTTTTTTTTTCTTTCTTTAAAAAACCAATTATGTGAATTTAAGTTATTTTTACGCGCAACAACCAGCAAGACGTTCGCGTATCTAAAAAACAGGCGCGTATGAAGTTTTACAAACACAAGCTTATTTATTATATAATTTTACTTCTCGAAATAAGTAATTGTTTCAATAATACAAAACTTATTTTTAAATCCCTTTTTAACTCTCTCCCATATGTAATCAGGGGAGATAACTTGGTACATTACCAACCAAATTCACAATAATTACCGGGCCCCTCCCCTTTTGCTAAACACTATTATTGCAAGAATTATCTTCAATAAAAAAAATTTAGTCATCATCAAAGAGTATATAACAGAATGCTTTGTACAGTGCTATTATAACTATTTTAAATTTTAATTAATAGAGTAATTTAATTTGTGGAACAATAGATGTTTTGAAATTACTTTTTATTTTTAATAACTTCATCTAGAGCTGTACCTAAATATTTTTGTTTATACAAACTCTGGCTAGGCGCTCCATCAAAACCGCCTTTAAAATGCATAACTCCATGTTGATTGATATCTTTTATCGATAATTCAGAAAGTATTTTGTTGCAACTATTTAGAAGATTCTACACATTGTGTAATTAAAAAGAGATTGACGGAAGGAAACTGAAGATGTTTCTGAAAAAATCATATTATCAGGATAGCATTCCTTTTTTTTCAGTTAAAATATTACGAAGAGACGGATAGATGTTTGCATTTTGTAATAAGGAGCTATTTCTGATGATCTGGTATTGTTCTACAGAAAGATCACAATGAATTTTTAGGCTGAGAGCATCTTCAACTTTCATTTTAACGAGTTCATGCATAGACATATTTTTTCTAATTTAATTTGTTTTATCTGGGTCCAAATCTTTCTTTACTATATAGATAAAATTGTTTCTATCAATGTTGGATTCAGTTGCTGTACTTTTTAAACAAGCTAAGGCCAATGCTTTGTGATTGTTTTCAGCAAAATAGGCAGTTTTAGTTCTTTTGCTTCTTTCACCAAGGTTTTCCCAAACTTTATTTTTTCTACCTGGACCTTCTTTAAATTTAATTCTTTTAACAAGATCAGGAAAAAACTACTCCTGTAAATAGAAACTTATCTAAATAGAATGATTGCATAAAGAAAATTATTACCAAATACTTTTTTTTTTTACATGCAGCCAAACACCCTCTTTTAAAATCAATCTGTCATAGTTTCTATTATGCTTATCTAGCTTAGTTCTCACTTTTGCTTTAAAAACAGACAACTCATTCTTTAAGTCTGTAAGCACTGATTTATCGAAGTCATTTTAATGGAGGTTGTAAGCATTTAAAACTTCTTTTAACAAAGATTAATACAGATTAAATTTATTGAAATCTGTATATATATATCAAAATTAAACGTTAAAAAAAAATTGTTAGAGAGTAAATTATTATTAAGAAAAAGACTTTATCGTTTTTTGTTTTGTTTTTTTAATTTATTTTTCTTCACTATATGTTTTTCTTACAACTAGCTTTAATTTGTGTATACCTTTATAACTAAGATAAAAATTAAACTAATGACAAGAGCAAGTAGAAGATTGTAGTTTTGTCATTAAGCCCCTTTTATTTGCGACTTTGCAATAAGTTTCACGTGAGCTTAATGTGACACTAAAAATTCATAAGTAGAAATAAAGCAAATACTTGTACATAAAAAATAAATCCTTGTACGTAACGATCTGATAGATGAGTAAAGAAAAGAAAAACTATTTGACATATTGTGATATAATCATCGTTTGTGGTTCTTCAAAAAGGGATAAATTTGTTTTAGTTATTATTAATTTGATCTTTAAAAATAGGAGAGTATGTTGACGTCACTTAAGTTAAATAGGTGATGTTTGACCGCTGCTTTAAAGAGATTTAATGACTTCATGTTTTTTATTTCTTCTTTAAGGATCAAATTTCATATCTGCGGTCGTCGAGATAAGATAGAAAAGCCAGTTATTTTAAGTAAAGTCTTCGGAATGTTAAAGTTTTGAAAAGAGTACTTTGTTGGGCAGTGGAAGATTAAGACCTCTTGGGGCCTGGAAGTATTTTTATTTTTGGAGGCCTTTATTATGGGCCTGAGCCTGAAAATAACTAAAAAAAAAGGTCCTCTAAAATATTTAGGGGTCCCTAAATTTGCGGGGCCCGGGGCTAGTCCGCCTAGCCCCCCCACCTTGATCCGGCACTGTTGTTGGGTATTTGTGATCAATGGTAAAAATTGATTTTCAAAGTATTTTGGTAGTAAATTGTTTTGCAATTGAAACAAAAATAATACAATTTGGAGAAGGTTAAGTTCATAAACATTTAGAGCTCCAATTTTTCTGAATAATGATTTGCCATGGGTATATCTGTTAACATTGCATACAATTCGACACGCTTGCTCATGTTTTTACATAAAAAAATTTTAAGTGCTGAAGAGTATGTGCTTGCCCAAACGATATTGCAATAGTTGATATAACTGTGAATTAACGAATAATATATACTTTTTAAGCAAGTTTTATTTAGGTGTTTTATTGTATGCATGATGCCGATTGATTTAGAAATTTTATTTTTGTTGTACAAATTATGATTCTTCCAACTAAGATTTTCTTGAAAAATTATTCCCAGGATTTTTATCGAATGGTCTCTTTCTATATTAATGCTGTTGATCTAAGAGTTAGATGATTTGTGAAATAAAAGATATTTGGTTTTAAAGATGTTTAAGGAAAGTTTATTAGCTTTGAACCACTCGTTTAAGTTTTGCAGCTCGTGATTAACTGTATTTTTTTTTTTTTTTTTTTTTTTTTTTGTAGTGTACCCCAACGCTCCAAGAATGGAGCCTTGGGGTACACCACAAATAATTGTTTGTTACATGCTGAATTGTACAACACTCCTTGTTTCCTGTTATTTAAGTAATTTCTGAAACATTTTAGATTGTTGTTTGCTACTCCATATATCTCTAGTTTGTGGAGGAGGATCTCGTGATCAACTGTATTAAATGCTTAGGTTAAATCGATAAACAAGGCGAGAAGGTTTTCATTATTTTCGAAATTTTATTGACTAATTCAATTATTGCATGATATTTTGAATGACTCTTGCGGAAACAAATTGTTTGTTATACAGAATATTATTTGTTTCAAGATATTTGTATAATCTATTGTAAATAACACGTTCGAGAAGCTTTGAAAAGCAAAAAAGTATTGATATAGGCCTATAGTTGGTTGCTAAAGAGTCGTCGTCATTTTTATAAATAGTCATTATTCTTGCTATTTTTGATTTATCAAGAAAAACACCAGTTTTTAAAGATTAATTGAATATTGTTTAAAGAGGCGACTCAATAATATCAATTACTGATTTCAAAGCAGTTGCATTGATTTCGTCAATTCCTGGACTCTAGTTGGTTTTTAGTAATAGCTGTTCGAAGTTCATCCGAGGATCTTTCAAACTCATTCATAATTGAGTGTGTTTTTTTTTTTAAAAGCCTTAAACGTTTTGTTTCCCGGAATTATTTTTTCGGATAAATTTTTAGCAAAGTTTATAATAAAATAATTAAACATATCAGCAATTTTGTCTCTGTCAAAAACATCTGTGTTCATTTTTGTTTGTAAACACTTTGGAAAAACAGTGTTTATGTTTTTTTTCTTTTTTCCGGTTACTTCTTTTATTATATCCCATTTTTTAGCATTATCTATTGAATTTTCGAGCAGATTGGAGTAATAGCTATTTTGCATTTATTTTTTTAATTTTTTAAAAGAGTTTTTATATTTTATATATTTAGTTTCATTAGTTAAAGTTTTATTTTTTATAAATTATAGTAGAGCTTGGTCCTTTTTTGAAGATTTTTCAAGCTCTTTTGTCACCCAAGGGTTACGCAGGTTTTTAAAATGAATTGTTTTTTTGGTCTTTGGAAAAGCTTTTTCTTATTGTTTAAAAAATAAGCGTATAAAAAGATCATAAGCATTATTCGATTCAATGGTCACTAATATCGGATTTTATGATACCGTTTTGATTTTATAAATCATGTAGTTATTAGTTATAATATTGTCAACGATTGAAGAAATTAAAGGAGTTACACGTGTCGGTTAGTTTATTAGTGATATAACACTGTGCTGAAGAAGTGTATTTACGAAGCGTCCGACGTTGGAATCGCAATTTGTATTTAAAATGTTTATGTTAAAGTCAACTGTTTGATAAATGTTTTTACTTGTGTCAGGTAATATACGTTCTAGATGTTTTTGAAATATTCGAAATTGCCATTGGGTGGTCTCTATAGAGCAGTAATAAAAGTATTTTTAGCTTTTTGATTGATTATTTCAACAGTTAAAGACTCGTAATCTGCATTAAATATGCTTATTTTTTTGAAAAAAAAAAGAGTCTAAAATAAAAATACACAATCCTCCACCGATGTCTTTTTTCCTTGCCCGTTGAATTGATTTAAAACCCGATAAATAAAAAATTGAGTTTGAATTATCTCCATTTTGAAATCAGGTTTCTGTTAGAAATATTACACTAAATTCGTAGTTTAAATTTTCTCACATTTTTGTTTTAAAGTTTTTAAACTTTTTATTCATAACAGCGAAAATAAGGTTTATGAACAGGTTTAACAGCAAAAAAAAGTTGATGAAGAATTAAGAAAGGTAGAAGCCTGACTGATGCTAAAATAATTAGTTTCGATTGAAAGTTTGTCAAAAATGTTTACGTTAGTATCAATGTCATTTGTTAAAAGTATATTTTCTCTGTGAGACATATTTAAAATGTTTGGTATATTGGTTTCCGCCATGTTAAATGTAGTTATTATTTTACAGCTATTTATATGGTTGATCATATTTTATTTTTCATTTGTTTTAATAATAGGTTTTTCGTTATTTTTAATGAAAGCGTAACTTAGATTAAAAGCGTAACTTAGATTAAAAATTTTGTCATACCTGACGGCAACATTTACACCATTTTGACGTCTTTTTTTGACTTCAGTCAGCAATATCTTTCTAATTATTACGGTATTGAGGGAAAAATCTTCGTTTATATACATGTTCTTTTCTTTTAATTTGTGCATTTCTTGAAGGATTTTGGCTTTATCTTTGTGATTAAGTAAATTAATTAAAACTGTTCTTAAACGTCCATCCTTTCTCAATCCGGTCCAATGAGCTTGCTCGATTTTAATTTCATTTAGTCCTATTTTATTTGATAAGAATGATTAAACTTTTTCTTCGGTTTCAATCCAAGTTTCTTTCACACTTTCTGGTATTCCATCAACTCGCAATTTTTTTTTTCGAGGTCTACATGTTTTTTTTTTTTATATAAGCATATGAAGTTTTTGAAACAGGCTCGAGTATGCTTAAGCAAAAAGTTAAAAGAGGCTCAAAATTATGCTCAAACTTATGCATATTTCTAATAAAATATGATTATTTCAATACTTTCTAAAAGTGCGTGCGTTACTAAAGGTTAATGGTTATAAGAAAAATAAAAAATTACCTTTTGTACAGTATAATAAAAAATAAAAAATATATACTATATACAAATGTTATCAATGAAATCAAAGGCATGAACTTCGCATTCCTTCTAGTCCGGACCGATAATGGTGTCATCTGGAAGAATTTCATTGCCATCTTCATTTATAGCATCATCTGCCTCCACCGGTTAAATATCACTTTGATTTCTCTTGGGTTGATCACTGCCAGGATCAATGATGGATGGTGGGGGCACTTTGTAACTATCAAGGGCCTCTGGTTTCACAAGCAAATCTTCTGAGCCATCAGAAGTCATTAAACACTCAGTCATCGTCCAACACTTCTTTCTTTGCTTGTCAAACTTAGAAGTGTTTAAAACTTTCTATGCTTCCCCTGCCCAATGTGTAATCAAAATTCGTCTCACTATTGCAGTGTAGGGCATTTCATTACTGAACCATCTATCAGAATGGTTATCTCTATCAAGCCATTTTTGATGTTTAATAACAATAAGCCTTTTCAGAGTGGCAGCATATCCTGCATCAACTGGTTGCCAAAGGTCAGTGGCATTTGGTAGACCGTACCAGAGAAGTCCTTTAGCAGCAGCCAGGGCATCTTTAAAATCCTCTTGCAACTGTCCCTCCAAATTGTCCAGCAAAAGAACAAATTTATCAAGTTTTTGTTCTCTGACAAATGGAAGAAGTGTTTTATCACACCAGTGCTTACAAAAGTTTTGGTGTAACCAAGCATTTTGTTGGAAGTAAACGTGAATATTTTTGTGCCATGCTAACTTTTCGTCTTTTGAAATGCGTTTTCCTTGACCTCTAAAAATGATGGCTAGCTTTGGTTGCTCTCATTCTGACCGAAACATAATTTGAAGGGAACATTGCTTTTTTTCCAATCCTAAGCCCGGTTGTGGATCCATGTATTATGTGCTGCACCTTGACCCTTGGGAATATACTCGTAGGTTTTCTTACCATGAACAACAAAGGGAAGTGGGCTCTGGTCAACGTTGAGCCTTTGTCCAGGTTAATACCGTCCCCATTTTTTGTCATAGCTGGGATCTTTAGAACCTGTCCTGATATACTTTTCTATGTATGTCGCATAATTGAACCATTGTTACAGAAATTTGCCATTTCTGTAACAATGGTTCCATTTTTTTTTTATGTTTCCTTTTGTTTATTAGTTTCAATCTCATTTTTAATTTCTTTTTTTGTAAAAATTGAACTAAATCATGATGTTTTATTACCACTTTTGGATTAATGTTTAATTGTATACTTCTATCTTTACTCCAAAGCCAGGAAAAGTTAACAATATGACCTTTCGATCTGGCTTGTAAAAATTCTTTGTAAAGAATTTCGTATAGTTCAAGATATTTTGTGGAACGTCTTCCCTTCAGAAACAATTTGCAATAGGATAATTTGGCATCTTTAATAATTTTTTTTTTCAAGCCATCGCGAAACTTGACTGTGTGCTACACCAAAACGCCTCTTCTATAGTATCTTGATTTGCCTCATAACCATACGCGTTAATTGCCTCTGCCTTAAATCTTGTTTGCTAATTCCGTGCATAACTTTAACATTAAAAGTTATTCAAAAGCTGGCTTTTGAATAACTTTTTGCAATGTTTGCATTTAACACTAGTTTCAACAGCTTCTACTGGCAATCGGATTGCACTTATTTCTCCTCTGTGCATAACATTTTTTGTGAAACTAAACGCTGCCAATGTAGGCTGCTTTTTCTTTATCTTCTTTGACATTTTTTTATTATTTTTAACAATATCTGAATATAAGACTTATAAATAAAATAATCATTTTGAATATGGTATTAAATAAACTACACCTTTAGAGCGAGAAAGAAAAAAAAAAGAGAGAGAGAAATAAATATTACTCTTTTTCTGTCATACTATTGTACTTATACTTTCTAAATTTCTAAATTTTAATTTTTTTTTTTTTAATTACTTATTATGGTTTCTATTTTTGAAAATAAAACATTTTTTTATTATTTTACTTTTAATGACGCATATAATATTTTATTATTAATTTGATATTAGTAACCCTTGCTTCAAATATATTCAAAGTAACATAATAAACTAAACTTTAGGGATTGCTTCTCTAAAATTCTTTTAAATAATTATCTCTCCAATTATCTCAGTTAATCTTCCTTTTTTTTTTCATAATTTTAAAAGAATAATTTACGTAATACAAACCTATTAAATTAATGTAATAGTTATTTAGTAGAAACCAGTGCTTTTTATTTAGCAGGTAACAGCAGTTAATTTAAGTATAATGAATGATTAAGTAAAGTTTTTGATCAAATGTTTTTGACATAAACGACACTTAAACTAAATAGTAAAAAAAAGTTATTTTCAAAATCAGTAGTTTTGTAATATTAGTTTTAATATCAATTTATTATTGCCATAGTTATTATTATTTTTTCAAGACGCAATGAAGAGAACTAATCCATTTCGGTTGCAGAGTAGTTTAGATTGATTCTTTACAGCATCAAAGAAAGAAAATTTTGCTGAAATACCTTCAACTAGTTTTACTGCTACTATTAATATTGCTATTCAACATGTTGAACATGAGAAATCAGAACTACAAGACAAAGACATAGACGGAGAAAGGCAGAAAAGGAATGATATCTCACTTGACATAGTTATGTCTGTTTCAGAAAATGAACAGATTTTAAGTGAGCCTCTACCTGACTCTGCATCCACTAAAATTAGCCGAACATGTTTTGTAACTATCAAGGGCCTCTGGTTTCACAAGCGAATCTTCTGAGCCATCAGAAGTCATTAAACACTCAGTCATCGTCCAACATTTCTTCCTTTGCTTGTCATACTTAGAAGTGTTTAAAGCTTTCTTTGCTTCCCCTGCCCAATGTGTAATCAAAATTCGTCTCAATATTGCAAAAAGTCAGATTTCAAATGCTGGGTTTATTAATGAAATTGGAAACTTTGTTGGTACAACTATTGATGATATAACTATAAAAAATTTGTTAGAATTGCCATAGAAACCATCAGCTGGCTACACAATTCCGCACTCAGTTCACATTAAGAAAAATAAGCGAGAAAAGCAATATCTTAATCATTCTCATTTGGAAAAATACAAATGATTAGTATATTCAGATAGAAAAAAGAGACTATACTGCAAATACTGTGCCTTATTTTCATACCATCGGACTGCAGGATCTCACAAAT